CTCTAGTAGCGTCCTTGCTCGTAGTAAGGCCAGGAGCCCCTAGTAGCGTCCTTGCTCCTAGTAGCAAGGCCAGCTTCTTGTTACTAGTAGTGTGGCCTGGAGTCCCTAGTAGCGTCCTTGCTCCTAGTAGCAAGGCCAGGAGCCTCTAGCAGCTTCTTGTTACTGGTAAGGCACCCACCTGAATGGTTGTCACAAGGGTTATTGGAAAATCTTGGAGGTGCAGGGTCAAGTTCCGTTGGGGTGATGGACCTTTTCACTGCACTTCTGGGTGCATTTGCATGTAATTGCATTACTATAGCTTATTGGTGTTCTCTTATACCCGTAAGATCCCTTACTGTAGTCCTTTTGGTTTAGGACGGATTTCTTACTAAACCCAGAAAGGTTCAGCTACCTTCCTAAACACACAGGACTCCTACAAATCATCCCTTAAGGATATCTTTTCTACTAGGCAACACCTGGCCCGGCACCTTCACCGCTCACGAGCCCTCTTTTTTGGCGCTTCCACAGAAAGCACACCATATTCATCATCCGCAACTGCTCCGATCTGCAGCGCTTTAATGGCCTCCAACCCAGTAGCATCCTTGCTCCAAGTAGCGATGGCCTCCACCCTAGTAGCGTCCTTGCTGCTCATCGAGGTCGGCACCCTTTGGGCCTCTTTGCAGCCCTTGACGTCACCAAGTCGCTCCACGGCCCCGTGGTCAAACGTCGCGGTCGAACGACGCGGGTTCCGGGATGCCAATATCCGTGCGGGGGAGCCAGCGGAAAAAGAACCGATCGAAATGGTTTGCGAGCTTGGAGTTGATCCCTCAGATGTGATAGGATGCCAGAAGCAGGGTTTCAAGGCTAAAAAAGGGAACCCTTGCTCAGGAGTTTCTACCAGCTTGGCTGCCAAAAGGCGGCGACCGGTGGCAACCGGTTGGAGGGTGCTTAATTGGCATGTTCTTCGGTCAAGTGACCTTCATCATTCTCACCCGAAAGGAATTCCTTTCCTTGTTGGAGAGTGCTGGTATGCTCCTTTTGGGGGCATCATGGGGCATCTCATTTCGGGTCACTCGGAATTTGTGGCAGTGTGCAATACGCGACCATCAAACACTGGAGCATGAAGTTCTCCATAAAGGGCCGGCTTGGAAAAAGATCTATGCAGCAGTTTTGTATTTTAGATCCGAGTTTTATGATATTTTATGAATCAGGTTTTTGGAGTTGGATTCCTTTTGGTATTTCAATCTTTAGATTAGTTTCCGAGTTCCTTTGTTCAGTGCACGTTTTGAGTTTTGTTTTCTCTCCTGAGATTTGGTGGTGTTTGGATTGTTTTGCTTTGGAACTCCCAGTGATTTGCTGCTCAGAATATCAAAACATGCTAGTCACTAGTCCCCGATCAGTTTCTCAATGTTCTCATGTTCTATTGGTGTTTGGAATGTTGATATCTCCAACTGGATAGCAGAACGGGACCGAAAACCATCAGCGACCTTGAAAAGGCCTGACTAAGGGCGCTTCCTTGGCAGGCTGTTCCCAAAAAGGTCTGTTCAATGCCCTTGGTGACCTAACCATTTGTGGCACAGAGGATCGCAGAGGATCGAAGTTAACTGACCACGATCGAAATGATTGTTCGACCGTTTCTTTCAGATCGACCTGTGACGCGTTTCAATTTCAGAATGCGTTCTACCGTCTCCGGCATAGAAACAGGTTCAATTCCAACTCGAGACTTGAAAGCGCGGGGGCAGTTCCGGGCAGTTCCGGCAGAACTAGGGATGAACACACCAGACATCATCGACCACGATCGACCAGACATGACCAGGTGATTTGGAAACGTTTGAGCGAGTCTTTCAGTGAATCGACCATGATCGACCTCGATCTCCGCCTTCGAGGCTCAGTCCATGCCGGAGCATCTTCAGATGGTCCGTGGGGGAAGCTCAACGGACCTGCACAACGCAATGGAACTCATTCACCAGAGTCGAGCTGCACATGCCGCACGGGGGGAGGATTTGATGGTTGACCAGTTTACATGTTACTTTTTGGTGGTGAATCATTTTTGACGGGCGAGGGACCCAATGCTTTTGCATGGTTTTGGCACCTTACCACGCACCTTACCTGACCAACGATGCAATCGCACCGGAGCACGCTGTGGTGTTCACCTGTGAAGCAGGGAGACCCGGGAACAGAGATGTGTCCAAGTGCGAACACAGAGCGCTCTCAGAACCCATTTGGATCGGCTGGTCCGAAAGGACCTGTTTCCACCCAAAAAACGCTCTCTCCTCTCTCTCATCAGAGCCCAATCACCTTGAACTCCAAATTTTTGATCAGGATCGTTTGGCAAAAAAAGAACTCCCTGGGCCAAGCAGATCCTGAACCTTTTCTTTGTCATATTTATTCATATTTGTTCCTTCGATGATCAGATACAAAGTTCTCCGAGGCCAAGGCTCCTCATTCTCCGAATCTCCGGGCTCCAACGCTCCAAAGCTGCCCTCTCCTGCAGCGAGGTGCACGGGACAGCTGGAGAGATGTGGTTTCTTGAATTTGCTTGGTCCTTTTGGTGGGTGGATTTGGAGTATAAAGGCTATAGTGGCTTCAACACAGTCAACACCTCTAGTGAGCCTGCATGTTGTGGGGTGAACATAGGTTTAAGAAGTCTGGCAAATTGGCTACATCTTATACATTATGCAAGTTAATCAACAAAGCTGAACGAAAGTCGAAGGTTCAGGCTCAGGCAGAAAAAGCACGGTATGGATCCGTCCACGTAACACCTGAGGTTGGGTGCTGGAGGGTCTGTTTGTATGTGGCAGCTTTACTTGGTCCCTGCCGCTTTGTTTCTTTGTATTGAAGGTTGTTTCACTCATCGCAAAGAGGGCTGTTGGTCTGAAAGCTGGGTGTGGGCTTTATGGTGTTGTTCCGGCGATTTTTTCCGCGTTCTTTGGAAGTGAGGGCACGCCGGTTTTGGAAGAGATGAATCAGTGGTTCACCACGGTAAACACCAAGCCCTGGGCAGTCCAATTTAAAGACACCGCTGCCGCTGCCCCGCTGTATTTGCAAACGTAGGGATCCGGAATCCGGACAGCTATTGTCAAAATGAAGCTATAGTTCGTCTTCTAAAATATGTAACCTGGAGAACATGGGACAGAACCCCAAGCGAGCGCAGGTACCAAGATGCACCAAGGTGGACCAATATACTCAATTGAAGGACTTAAGTGAAGACATACTTTCCCATGTCGCTGTTGGTATACTTTGCTGTCGCCCGTGTAGCCTTGGCTCGACCCATTGCCACCCGCCAGGCGCTCGGGTTGCTTTGCATTTTCATCCCGGGCCGACGACTCGGCGCGACGACGGAGCTGGGCCGGCGTCTCGCGCGTGGACCCGTGGGTCGCTCCGTTCGGCGCGCGCGACCGGGCGCGACCGGTGCCGGAGGAAGCAGGCCCCAAAGTCTCCCAAAGACCAGTTTCGACCCTCAAATTCAGGATCTACATATGAACAATTATGGGTTAGGTGTCGACATATGAACATTGGCGGCGCTGCCATGTTCCAATATTTTGGAGCTTGATTACATGTGCCTTTATTCTTTTTGCAATGTTGAGATGATGTTTCGGTATTTCGATCTTTTGCAGTGGGTGATGTGTTGATCTGACGCTCATCAGCTACAAGTGGCGGTCAGGTTCTATTAACTGGGTGGTCAACTGTGTGGCTTGCTGGATGCCTCTCGAATGATTCTTTGAGCAGGTGTCCGTTACAGAGCTATATCTCCCATAGGGACGTGCAAACATCACTCGTTGGTGACCAAAATAACAGTGCATTGAGGTTGAAACAATGTTGTTTGGATGGCCCAAAGATCATGAATCATGATCATTCTACCAACACCTTCCTTTCGAGTCTTTTGGGGTCTCCAATGGACTATTCACAACGAGTGGAGCGGACACCCCGACAACCCAAGGCCGGACAACGAAGCCCGATCCCCTGTGGAGGCTGGTCGACAGAGGTGGAAAGTGGATGCCAGCGATTCCAGTATGTTTAGAGTGATCATGAATCATGGTTGAAACGATCCGGTTTCAGTTCGGTGCTACGATTTGTATTGTTGAAACACCGGTGATGAAGTCGTGACATCTGAAGGCACACAGGGATCACCTACGCAAGAGGGTATCCCTTTTTGAGGGGTCGGACATTTGGGTGCAGCTGTGCTGGATCATCCCCTTTGCGTCCCGCTGTGGGACAAGACATTTCACCCGTATGCGAGGATCGACTGAAAAGTGCTGGGTTCGGGGGTCCAAAGACTTGGATGTTTCGGTCTGAAATCAACGCGACTGACCCAAAACTCTAAATGGTGGTCTAGTGAATGCAACATCATAAGCTTTTTTGCTTAAGTTACCGAGAAAAAAATCACTACAGGCTTTATTCAACTCGAGACTGACACTGGTTTCACCATGAGCTTCCCGACCAGGCCCAGCTACCACAAACAGAAGGGGAGGCGTCGTAGCAGCCTTTGACAGTCGACCTGGACCATGTGTATATTTGTCTTGAATTAACTTGAATATAACTGATCATTATGTCACCTCAACTACGGAGCCCAAACATGAACACAATCCCGGTGTGTGTGTGTGTGAGTTTGTGTGAATCACAGGTTTGACTATAATGCAGGGGGGCCAGTCCACCCACCAGGGAGTGGCCAATGAAGAGCCTGGTGGTGTGGTGCTGAAAACACACCTTGTTTTGACTGGCTTTTCTCCTTGGTCCCTGCATGTACTGTAACTATACAATAAGACTCAGTCCTTTGCACCGGTTTGCTGTCAAGAGCTATGCGAATTCAGGATGTTGTGACACTCGCAGTTCAACTTGTGGAACTTTGGGTTCAGCGTGTTGTGGAACTTGCCGAAGAACTTCTTAAAATTCAATAAATTTAAACTACTATGCTTTTAGTCAGCTTTCCTTTCTACCTGACTGAGTGGTCGTCCGGCTACCGCCTTTCACACGTACACCTATCTGCGTGTGCGTGGGTGCGGCCACCGCCATGCTGCTCGCCCACATAGAAGCGAACTCAGTGGACCGTCGAGTCACCCGCTTCGGAGTCAAGCGACTTGAAGGTCTAGAGTTTCAGAACGCATGGTGCCCAACAACATTTGGTGGTGTAGTTCGAGAGACGCTTCGGGAGCTTGATGCAAAAGGCCCGCGCTTCTGACGGGAAACGCTGCAAATGCTTCAGGGCCATGGCTGAGTTGTTGGAACTGTGGCAACATTTCACCTAATAAGGCTGACTGTCAACGACATGAAAATGGTGAGGTGGACAAAGGAGTGGCCTGTGATGTGATCAGGAATAACTGGGGAAGAGAAAGAGAACACGGAATTCCGCTGTGTACGTGCACCTGGTAGGGCGTACTGTCCCCCTGTTGGAAAGAAAATGAGTTACCCAAGCCTTCCTTCGATGTGTACTGGTGTTCATGGTTGGTTGGGGTCGGCGGGAACACCAACCCTTTCTCCCACCTACTGTAACAGCCTAGCACGCTTTCAATATGCCTTGTTTAGTTGGAGCAGCTTGCAGGGTGTGTAGCTAGCTGCTCCTAGCTTCTTTAGGCTTGGTGCTGTGCCGCAGCTTTTCCCACCCGCCCCTGAGCTGTGGAACAGCTGGAGGAAGAGGGAGGGAAAAAGGGCAACCTGTTGGCTGAGTCCTGCACAGGTGGCTTGTCCGTTCATCTTGTAAAACAAGGTTGGCGCGCCTATTCTTGTAGTTCTGGGATTGATGCGATGGGTGAGAGGTGGCCTGTCCTTTTGCAGGTGCCACCAACCAGCTCTTCGCATGGCACGCCAACATTTTCGATGGCTTGGACGTGGGCACCAGGTTTGGACTATGACTAATATATATAATATATAATCATCTTTCATCAATGGTTATGGCATATGTAGCATGTGATGGCTATAAAGCCATAGTCCAAACCAGCTTTGGAGTCCCAACCATGGCTGTGACATGCCGGGCCATAGTCATGATAGTGGCTATATGTGGCTAGGTCCACACCTCCGATGTGGATTTTTCATGATGATCCGATCCACACCGATGATCCGATCCTCTCATCCAGGCTCCGCTCCTCGGGTCTCCTCTCCGAGCCCCGCCGTGCGGAGCCTGCTGGAGGCGCCGTACCCGAAGCGTTTGGAGTCGCGGTCACCGGGACGATGAACCCATTTGCAACAAAGCTAGGCAAAATGATGTGTTTCCATGTGTCCTCTGTTTTTTCGATTTAAATCCTGCGAATTCGGCAGATCTGACAGTGCTAGGTGGTTGATTTGGGAAGAAGTATATTCTTTTTCATCCCTATGACGTCCCAAGCCGTAGGAATCTATTTTTGGCAATGGTTTCACTGGTTTCGGATGTTCAACCTTCGACCAAGCTCCTGATTCCAACCTTTTCAGGAACGAAGACCAGCTCCACTGGGGCAGGCGGCCTTGACGCCCAGTGGGCCACAGGTGCCATCCGCGGTGACCCCGGGCGGAGTGGTGAAGCTTGTCCGGTGGACCGGCATCGACCAATGTTAGGGAATGGTCCAGGATGGTATGTAATGGGTAGTTATATGAAGGTTTCAAAAAATGGGGCAGAAACATTCAATTCAAGACATTTAGCACTATGAATGAGTGTGTGTATGGCAGACCATGTCAATTTCAGTTGTATTACTGCAGAACATGGGTCTGTTATTTGTTGACCTCTCTTTGGAAGATGACATGAACTGGTGTTTTGGTGCATGTGTGACATAGGCGTTGCCAGATTGTCAAGTCATTTGTCTAGAGTTCAATTTAATGTCTCGACGTTGCATTTGTCAATGTCGATGACATGGCAGTATTTGTTTGTCAATGGCATGGCCTACAGTTTTAGCAGCTTTTGACTTTAGACCAGCCTGTTGCTTGCATGTGTTTCAACAAGCAATGATTGCAACATGTTTTTAGTTAACGTGTGCAGACACTTTTGGGCTGCAGGCTGCAGACAATTGTTTCAAAATCCGGCATTCATTTGTTTTGCATGCCATTTGTTCCATTAGGTTCGTTGTTCAATCCTGTGATGCTGACACCCTGATTGGCTGGTTTTAAAGAAATACGTAAACCATGTTAGCAATTTGAGTTGAGCAGGCAGTGGTACTTTTGTTTGCTCAGGCCACTTGGGTAGCCTTTAATAGCATGCACCGGTGCGCTGTGCAAAGGAAGTGTCATGATTCCACTTGGTCCAGTCGCATTACATCATATACCTTTTTCCAAGTGCTGTTGTAAAGAAAAATACAAATGACCAGAAAGTCGTTGCTCATGGGCACCCCCTATACCAAAGAAGAAGAGTTTGTGTTTTTCAAGGTCGTTGTTACATCGTAAAAAAATAGCCTTTTACTATTGGTTGGTTGGTCAATGCAAGGGATACTCCCGCTTTGTCAACCATGACAACCACCGGTCAATGTCATCATGGCCAACGTCCACCAGGCCAGCGGTACACCGTCCACAGGGACACATCGTTTTAAGGCGAGAAACGTGGATCCCGGCGGCTGAAGCGTGAAGCGTGCAGCGTTGGTGGACGATGAAACGGATGTGATTCGTGAGTGACATGGGTGACACATGGAGGAACGTGTCCGAAACATGTCTTCAGCTGAGTGAGACGTGCGTGGCGCACAAATGGAATTTACGGCGATCGCATGGAAGCATGGGGTTTTGGTACACCAACATGATTAGCTGGCGCCCATGTCCAACTGGATCTCTTTGAAGGTTCTAATGATTGGACTTCTGGCTTTGGAACTCCTGAGTCACCTTCATCCACCCTTGGGTCCCCGTCAGACGAGCTTCCCCTGCAGCTCATGACTTTGGGTTCTGGCACCAACCATGTGACCATGTGTGGCCCAGAGGGTTTTAGTCCATCTTCCGGTCCAAAGGCCACAGACAGCAGGTTTTTCATGCATAGGGTGTTCTTGTTCTGAGTGTGTCGCATCCAGTCATGAGGACATGCCGATCACTGGTCCAATTTGGTGGTAAATCATGTTTAAAGAGAGGATTCGGATGGGTTGGGCCCTGGAGATGGGCATCCATTTGGCCATCTATGGACGTATACGTACGTTGTAAGCTATTACTCAAGCACATAGCACTTGCAACTTTGCCACATCCACCACACCCAACATTTGGAGACCATCGCTTCTAGGTTGGAGGCCATCAAATCTAGGTTGGAGGCCATCGCTTCTATGGGTATACAAGTCTTTCCGGTATGACAAATGAGCTCTTGAGGCTTTTCCATGTCCATTGGGTTCTACCGACGTTGCAGTCACCGTCTCGCAGGACTTGGACAGTGCCCGACACTCGCAGATCTCAGGTGGGAAGTTGTCAAAACTCTTTGAAGGTTCATGTAGATCTGGTCATGGCGAGATATCAAGGATAAGCCAGGAATGTTCTAGGGATGATCTATGTTATACTATAATGTAGAAGATAGTACGATACCGCTTAATATGGGATCAAACTGGCAGTTTTCGGGATTCCAGGAAAATGCAGATGTTCCTTTATCTCCAGTTGCTTGGGTGATTGTCAATAAAACATGCATGTGTAGCTGGACCATCCGTTTGTGGTAACCGACACCCACAAGTGTTACATGGTTTCTCGCTTGCTGACCGAGCTGACCTTGTGTATGGTCATGGTCTACAATATGAATGGTTCCATCTGTCATATAGCTCAAAGTCTGGATATGATATGCACTTCCACTTGTTTTCCAGTTGACGCATGGATCTCTTCTGTTCATTGGAACTTTTTTTGTTTTTAGAACTTATGGGCGACATCGACATCGTGGCGTAAACGGGCGAAACCGATCCCTGGCGCGCGGCCCGGAGGCGCCAGCCCGGCCTCTGCGTCGACGGCCCGGGCATCGCCCAACGCCCCGCGCCCTGCGCGGTCCGAGCGCCGAGAAGGAGAGCCAGGAACCAGGAAGCCTATCCTAAGGTAGACCCAAGAGACGTTTGAGTATTTTGTTCAGTTCTTTTTGTTGGATTGACTCCACTTTGGAGTTGGATTTAGACTGAGGGAAGTCAGGAATGGTTCATTTGGATGGAAAAGACTTTGTTTGTTTGAGAAGAGAACACTTCAGACAGCGTGAACAGCATGAATTCGGTTTCGAGGAAGATAATATACCTTACTAGGTGCCGGTGGGTTCTTGAAGCAGGGAGAAGCTACACCAATACAGAATACAGGTTCACTTTGCCTTTTGCTAAGAGCACATTTGATTAGAGAGTGGATGAAGAATCCAAAAGCTGACTTCTGAATTGTCGATCCTTTGATTGTAGTCTTAAGTATCTATATAGAATGGAACTCACCTGAGAAGTCCAAGTCTTTTTAGACATACTGTGTGTGTGTGTGGGCTAGTCCGGCCATGAAAAGATGTCCAAAGAACAATGCCATCCCCGACCCGTCAGGACCCACACGATGTGGTGGAGACCGGACCATCCCAAACAGCGTTGAGAGACCGGACCCTAAGGGAGGACACTGAGGCTATTGACCAAGAAAACACCGAATCAATACAAAAGCACCTTCAACCAACCCTTGATAAACCAATCAAACTGACCAAACAGGCCAGGCAGCTGGGTTCACAGGCCTGGCCGGACAGCCCTTCTCCAGTTCTCCGCCACCCCCGAGGTCCAGATCCAGCCTCTCCGCGGGTTCAGAGAAGTCTCCGGGTGCGCCACATAGCCTGGGCGGGAGAGGGCGGGAGCTTTTGGGAGGTCCTAGAACTTCGTGTGCCCCACGGACCAGTTGGAAGCTTCGGGTGGTCCTTTTTAGTTTATGGCGCCTTATGAGTTTATGGTATACCCTAAAAATCCGGCCCTCAAACACAGGGTGTTGAGGGTCCGGACCCCCTCTTGGGAGGGTCCTCGGTAGTGGGTGATAGGTTTCAAGCATCCCAAAGATTTTGGCTACCGGAGGACATGATCCGGATCCCATATTCAATATTGATCTCATACCTGGATCCTCCCTTGGGCGGGAAAAAGTGCCGGACCACAGAAATGCAGACCACAAAGAATGCAAAGCCTTGAGAATCCACGTAAAGTGACTTGGAAAAACTGCCGGACCAAGTCCAGAAAAACGCCGGAGTTGGAAGTCCGGCGCCGGACCCTGCAAAAGTGCCGAAGATCTAGGTATGTAGAACAACCACTATTGACAAGCAGCACGCTTCCGAGACTCTTTGCAGCGGCAGTGGTGCTTGGTGTGTTTGCCAACAAGACATCGGCTTCGACCTGCGTAGTGGCGGCCCTTTCCACCCCAACCACGGTTACAAGGATCATGACCATGGCAGCAACATATGACTTGTACCAGGAGCAAAGACGCTAGTAGAAACAAGTGCATCGCTACTAGTAACAAGTGCCTTACTAGTAGTAGCAAGGACGTTAGTAGTAACAGGAAGCATGGCATGAGGACGCGCCCCGGACGCGTCTCGTCGGTGTGAACGGCACGGAGGCTCGCGGTTGAACTTCACCGAGAAGGCTCAGAGAGATTTGGTGCCTTGGACCGGTGTGCATTTGGGATTTGTTTGGGGGCTTTCCAAGAATTGTAAAGAAGTATAGTGAGCTGATTCAGCATATGTTTCCACGCTTCGGTCCTAATTAGTTCTCTCTACCTCTTTTTCCCTGATTTCCATCTCGCTGACAAGGTGGAACTCATGAGGAGCAAAGATAAGCTCCGCGCCTATGCCGAGCGGCCCTTCAAAGATGTGCGCCCGAGACCTTTTTTAAGGAATTTGGGTGTGGTTTTGCACTTGTAGAGCTGGGCTTTTGGCATGGCTTTTGACATGTTTGGGTTGCTTTGGGAGTAAATGTCAGCATCATATTTCCTCTCTCTTAAGTGCTACTACCACGAGGTGAAGGGAAGACACAGGTGTGTTCGTTGTCGTTTGAGGTCAGACACGTTTTCGAGGAGATTCCGGGTATATCTATATATTTATATAATCGTAATGCTAATATTATTATACGACGGTTTGTTATCGTATAATTTGATTATCGTATATAATATTGTATATACGGTGCAGCTGTAAAAATTGCCAGACTTGACCATAAGTCTGTGAACTTCTACCGATGGATTGCCATCCAAGTAGAGCCAGAGTGTCTAGAGATGTCTAGAGTGTCTAGGTCTAGGTCAGCATCCCCTAGCTTCAGATCCAGATTCCCACGGTCCCCAATGTCCCCAATCAAAATCATCGAGGCTGGCAAGCAGAATCATCCCATGCCTTGCTCACACACGATCCACCTAGTCGGACCTAGTCAGTGGACAACATGGCTAATTAATCCTTATATATATATATACGGGGATTGTTTCCCCACTAAAGTGGCGAAAATAGAATAGACACTGTAACCACACTGCATATAACCGTAACCTATGTTCCAGAAAAATATCAGGGATAGTGTCCATGCTTCTTCCGATGTCAAGTGTCCCCTAAGTTCAGAGCGCGCGAAGGCAAGTTGTGCGCCAGCTGGAGGTACCTGGCCGAAGTTTGCTTGCTGGGGACCGCTTGTGCTTTGAGGACTTTCTTGATGTTCTTCGATGTGTCGTGTGGTGACTGCTTGTGGTTCAAGTTGTTAAAAGAGGAGAATTCAAAGGGCGGTGTTGCAGTGCAACTGTTGCGTCTTTGTGTAAACCCTTTGCTGGCACGTGGCACTTCGATGGGTCCACTGACAACATGTTTTGTTCTGCGACTGGTTGGTTTGAAAGGTGTTTCTCATGATGGAATCTATATACTTGCGCTGAGTTCTTTGTTGTAAGAGACAACAATATTCTGCATTAATTGTTTTGTTCTGTTGCTGCTTCAAGTCTCCAAAGCCTTGACCTACGAGACATACTTCTTTTACAGTCCTAATTTCTAGGCTCATGGATTTTCCAAAGTCCCCACTGTTTTCCAAGCATTACCTGAGCACCACTCAACCATGTATCTTGGTGTTGCTATGCCAACGACAGTGAAACCCCTGGGATTGGAAGGATAGGTCAGAATTGTTTCAAAAGAAACATGGTCCACTTGCCCCCCCAAACAATCAACCTCTCACTGGCCGGTACAGTGAAACCAATTGGTGCTTCAAGTGGCAAACACAGAGTGTTTGGGTGTCTCAAAAAAACGGAACTGGAAACACCAAAGTGATACCAAAGCCTCAAAAGCACTAGATGAGTGATGCGCCACGCTGAGCTGGGCTTATGGGGTCGCAACACCATCGTGAGGGTGTAAAAATCCTGGACTTCAACACATACAACACATGTTCTCTTCCAATCGACTGGGTGTTCTTCAGTGCCTTGGGTGGCAATACCCTGTTGAGGCGGACAAGTCGCCACTAATGTTGGATCTTGTTCGCCACTCCAAAGCACTGCTTGGCTCCACCAGGACTTTCAGCAGGCCCTCAAAGACTTACTCCAGGAGCGACTTACTGGGAGCCAAATCATAAAAGGGCAAATTTGGTGAACAACCGGAGTGTTCAGTGTGTGTGCTGTTGGGAAACTTGTTGTTCTTTGGCTCTATGTTGCCATTGCTTTTGTTACATTTTGCCGGTATAGATTCCTTGAGATGATGCTGGGGAACCTGTTGGGCTCTCAAAAGCAGGAGACCCTTTGTTGTTGTGTCCAAACATAACTGCTATAGATGATATAGGCACACATGACATTGGCACACAGTACACGCTCACTATTATCCGTTCATTTCTTCATGGATTTACCAGGATGTGGTTGGTGACTTGTCTTTGCACCGTTTTAGAGTCTCTCTTTTGTTCCTCCGATGGGCAGCTTTCCGGGCGTGACGGGTTTGTTGGGTCCTCAGGCCGAACAGCGCGGTGGTTCCCGCCCGGGGTGGACCGGATGACCATTGGTGGTGACGAATTGGAGAGACAGAGGAAGGTTCCGACACTTCGATCTGGTTTTTATGTTGGACAGAGAGGTTCGGCAAAAGCTCAGGGGGGTGAAACCAACATGGGCGTGATCTTTGGGGCTGTCATATGCTGGACTGTAGATGTGCCGAAGGACCGAGGTCGTCTCGCTTGCCTTGGAAACTTTGCGACACTTGGAATCCAAGCAATCCTCAACCTGCATGGGGTTGGATGGGCCTGGACAAACGAGATGTCAACGTTCTAATTGCTCCAGCCACTCTGCTTGGGGCGGATGAATGACATTTCCCCCAAGCTCATGTCGAACTGCCGATATTGTTCGTGTTTTTTTTGGCACATCAGCACACCAAATTCCAGGAACACTGGTACTGTACCCTTCCATCCATCACGGAAGCGAGGAGTTGCACATCAGTGTGCCAGCAGACAAACAGATGCAGGCCGGCTCTTGGGCGGAATTGGGGTGAAGGAGTTGACCACAGACCGGGAGAGACAACCGTACTGAGTTTGGTTCAGGCACAAGATGGCCAAACCTATGCAGGTTGACCAGTTTAGGGAGTGTTTTTTTCTCTGCTTTTTAACTTTCAGATTCAGAGACTCACAGAGGTTTCTTTGCCCCAAAGTATCGCTTATGGCCCGGGCGTGTCCATCAGGTCCAAAAAGTTCCACTTGTTTCGACTCAAAAGTTCCACTTAGATAGCTGACAAGGCTGACAAGCTAAAACCGCAGACCGGCTCGTCGTTGAGACGGCTCCACGGCTCCGGCCCCACCGCGGACGCGGAAGCGGCGAGGCCCTCTTTGACAAGCACCGGGGGAGCCACGAAGGCGACTCCGGACATGAGGGTATACGAAGAATGCGCGGGTCTTAAAACATAATGGATCAGGGTGACTTCAGAAACACAAGCACTTCAAAATATCATGAGACTTCAGATATAATCTGCCTTTGACCAGCATCCAGGCTGAATGGTTCACAAACGGGGAAAGACATCCATCATGTTCCCTTCATGTCCCTGTTTTTGGCCGTGTTTGATGTTTAAAGTCAAGGTATGCGGAAAAGTATTCCAATACTTCGCCCAAAACATCCCCAGCTGCCCAGTAGACTGCCAGTAGACCAGTGTTGAACCAACAAAATCACAATGCTGCAGCACAACTCTGCGGGCATATCGATCTCCAAACCCCCCCCAAAACAACTATAAGCACATGGAATCATTGGGCTAAGGTTGCGACCAACAATAGGCTTATTAGCAGCATTCAATACCAGTTGTTCTTTGTGGATCACCTGAGTCTTTCTGCTTTGGGATCGGAGTTTGGCTGGACAGGTGTGAGCTCTGAAGACTTCGAAGCCCTGCTGTTTCGCTTGTTGCGCCTTGGGATGCGGACGGACGACCATCCCAGAGCATCGTCCGGATCGTATCCCGGTGATGGTCGGGTGCGGTGCCCACGGACCGCTGAAGGGTCCCCAAACCCACCGGTTGGGAAATCCCGCGAAGTTGCTTCGCGGTTCCAGGGCGTTCCACAATGTTCCACACAGCCGAGCTTGTGACTCCATGCTATTCATGGATGAATCCTACACCGCAGGTGGGAAACGGAAAGGTCAAAATGGATGTGTAATAGATAGGGAGACCGCCCGGCAGCCCAATGCACCACATGATGTCAGGTAGTTCCGAACGACCATTCGCAGCGATTTCGCAGCGGGCCACTCAGGTGCTTTTTAAGAGCCTCGGAGGAAGTCCGTGTGAACTTTGGAGCTGAACTTCGCTCTTGCTCCGAGGCCGTCTGTCAGCGGCTTCGTTTGGGTGAGTACGGTGCGGCTCGGGGCTGATAGAAAGCCACGTATGAATACGTATGATGTCTATTTAGACATCGCGCTCCGCCAGGGCCGTGGACAATCAATGTGCGTTCCGGACACTTCTTCGGCGGGACACACAAAACACCATGCCGAGGACACAGAGGTCGTGTCTAAATGGTCGTGGGAAGTGTCACTGTAATGTCTAAGGATTTGAGGCTGACATGGTTTTCCCCCCAAACCAATACAAGCCACATCAGCCAGGGACGACTTTCCGAACGATCATTCCCTAACGCTTTCACTTACGTCATCAGATGGTCATGTTGAAGTTTCTTAGAGGCTGGTGACCTACAGGCAAGCGGACCCAAGCCCGGCCCTTCATCGGGGCCGAGAAGGCACATCCAGCGACCCAAGCTGGAATTGGGCGAGAGATTGATTCTCCGAACGATCGCCAGGAACGCGACAAGCGATGGCGGCAGGAATTTATTCAGAAGAATTCGCAGAAGTCGGCTCCTGAGATGGGCATGGATCAAAGAGCGCTTAGGCTCTTAGGGTAGGTCGGGGCTGGGATTGATCATTATTTCCAGGGGATGGATCCAACATGTCAAAATCTGATTCCACAATGGGTCAATGGACACCCCAAAGCACCTTTGCGCACATGATCGACACCTCTCAGGCCTCTTAGCGGGTCTTCGGCAACTTTGACCAGTGTAGATCTCGGTGGTCGCCGTATCATTAAAAAATAGATTTGTATAGGCTCCTAGGCAAGCTATGTCAAATAGGGCTGGGGATAGCCGTGTCTCAGTTCCACCATGTAAGAGTCTTAGCGCATGCGGACGAGCCCCAGGGCAGTCGGTCCTACATTTGATGAATCCGCTGCTTGTCTAAGGAGACCCAAAAGGACATAGAACACCAAAAGTGGCGAGAAGTGAAGATTGCATAAGATGGCCAACGACATGATCCCGTCGATAGACTCGCTGGTAACCTGGTACATGGTACCAAAGTGACAAACGAAGCTGGTGGAGGGAGACTTTAACCAGTGGACGGGTTTGGGACATGTTGAGACTGATGGAATGGGTGGTAACTATATACACAGATTCTGCCCAAAGGACTGAAGCATCCAAGTCGAAAAGCCACCTTCTCGGTCCACAGGCACATATAAATAGGATCATTAAAGCTGTGACTAATTATTCGTGTCACTGTTCAAAACACAGATAACTTCTTCTTGGAACCACTGTAGGCTGTAGGTGACGAAAAAACACCTTTCGTGCTTCCAACATTCGCCAGGTTTAACGAAGTTTATGAGGCTGGCTACGGCTGTTTCGCCGCGGCACGGGGATCCAGCTATACCCGTATTTGGGAGATCCCATACCCGTTGCCTCAAGGCCACTGAATCGGCGGGGTATCTGCAGAAGGGATCCTTTTTGTCGGAGAGGCCCAGCCAAATCCACAGACCAAAGACCAAGCATTGCATGTCCGTGAGAATGGTGAAACTTTGTTCGTTTGGCTCCTATGTTATAATGTTTTGCAATGTTTTGCATGTTTGATTTTCCCTCCAGGGGTCGCTTTACCCCTACCCCTATCCGTACGGCTAAGCCATTTAAATCTGTAGAGGCAGGGCTACGCACCATTCCCCCGGAGGTAGTGTATATTTCATCCGTATGTTTTGGGGCAACGGCCGGCTCCGTATATTACATTTGAAAGGGCTTATGTAAATGGGGCTGATGCTATTCCGGCAGGTGGATGGGTTCACGTAGAACCCAGCAAAAAGAAAGGAGTGCTGGGTGATGGGAGAGTTTGTATATTTGGTGTTTAAAGTTATATAAGCCCAGCAGACTAGAAATCTTTAACAGTATCGTTTCAGGTCTTTCATCAAACGCCTCCTGGAACGATGTCTACGCTTGTTTGTTTAATTGTTTCATTGTCTCTATGTTGATTCCTTCTTGGTTTACTTGAAAAACCTGTTGATTCCTTCTTGGTTTCTTCGGTTTTGCTTGATTGATTCCTTTTGGGGTGTTCTTTTGATCTCTAATGATTACGCTTGAGCGTGCTTAACTAACCTCTTTAACTTCCTGTTTTAAACATTATTGTATATCAAAATGATACAAGCATCTACTCCGGCAAAAGGGTAGCCCAGTACACTAGAAATATTGAATTATATCAACTCCTATACAGTAATGTCTTCTCATTAGGTGTTTAATCTAAACTTTACCTGGAATATATTAACGATTAACCAATGCGTATTGTTGTGATTCCTGTAAATTTCTCTTGAACTTCCTATTGTTGCCTAATGGTTTCCTTTGGATTTCTATTTGTTTCCTTTGAAGGTGATGCACTAATTCCTTTAACTTCCTAGATATGTTCAATTGTATCAAACTATTGCAAATATCTATTCCACAAAGAGGGTGGCCCAGTACACTAGAAAGCTTCAATAATATTACTCCCTAGAATAATGTCTATACGGCTTTTGCGAAACATTATTTTACAATTGAATAGCTACCTGTTTCTTCCTGCTTTTGTTCTCTTATAACCTTTCCTGTCCCAAAGCGTCCCAGTTCACCAAATTCCACAACCCTGCATTAAATCTATCCGAGCCATGCAGCCATGAAGTCAAAATCTTGAATAATGTCACTGCCTAGAATAACATCTACGATTGTTGCCCGGCAATGTTTTTTGCTCAATAGACTCGTTTCATGTTTCTTTACGTTTTTTGTCTTGTCGTTTTCGTTCAACCTTTCCTTTCCTAAAGCTTCCCACTCCACCAAAATCCAGACCCTTTTGTGCGTTGGCCCTTTATGAAACCTTTAGTGAAATCTATCCAAACTTTTAAAACTCAATTGCACAAAGGGAGTAGCCCAGCAAATCCCAAATCTTGAATCATATCACACCGCAACAGAGTCGTTACCTGTTTTTTACAATTTTCCTGCTTTTGTTTTCTTACAAACTTTCCTTTCCAAAACGGTCCTTCCACGACCTTTGCGCTGCGTCCGCTCTTCATGAAATCCTTTATTGAAGACTATCCCAAAGTTGCTAAAATCAATACACAAGGGGAGTAGTAGCCCAGCCCAGTGAATTCCAAATTTTGAAGAATGTCACCCCTAGAACAACGTCTACGATGTTTGCCTGGCAAACAAATTTGGGGTTCCCAATGCTTGTAAGTGTGTCCGCCTCAGTCTGGGCTAGTGTGTGTGCCTTCTGGCAATTTGCAAGTGTCTCCCAGTCTGGGCTATTATTGTGTCCACCTACTCCCTAGAAGCATCTATAATCTATACATGAGTTTCCCAGTCTGGCCATGTCCGCCTTTGGGCAACTCAATCGGCGAGCTTGCTCGTTCCAGGAGCTGGTTGGTCAAAAACGCGTTCGTTCTTTGGTCCCTACGACAGCGGAGGGGTCCATACGACAGCGGGGGGAAAACAAAAAGGTCGGTCACGTCACTCGGACTAATAGCTTCTTGTTACTACTAGTAAGGCACCCGTTGCTAGTAGCGATGCACTTGTTACTAGTAGTTTTTTCTATTTTGGATGGTTGAATCATGGACCTTCCACCTTTCCCAGTCTGAATCCTGCGACACAGCACCTCTGGCACGGTGGAAGTTCTTCCCATCAAAACTCTGAAAAATGTGGGTGATCATTGACCGTCCCACACTGGCCACGTGAAATGGATTTGCTAATTCAAAGGCGGCTGATCCACATAGATGTTCTCAGAACTGGCAGCAAGAAAAGAGATGTTCCTCTTGAAATACTATATAATAGGTTGTTTTTCAGGCTGGTTATAGGGTAGCTACGCAAACATGTGTGGTTCTGCCGGTTGCCACCTGACTGAAGCCATGTTTTGAATCAGACCCCTTGAAGAGATCCTTGACAACCTCTCCGAAGCTTCCACCGACCGCTACGGGTGTTCAACTTCGTGCGCCAGGTCCAGAAACAACTCGGCAAAGGCTCTTTTGGTACGGTGTATTTGGTCTCGCACAGGCGTGGCGGGCTGACGGTTGGTCGGGCACCATCTCGACCTCACCTGAGAGCTGGCTGACAGTTGGCCAGATTTGTTCCTTTGTGATGCGAGTGTCGTTGGACCCCGTTGGACACACCAATAGCCGGACACACCAATAGCCGGATTCCAAATCAAATCTTTGGCCCCCCTGGTGGCGAAACCTATTGGTTTGTTCAGTGTGTCAGATGGAGAAAGAGAACTTGCACGAGTCAATCAAGAGAGTCACTCCCGTTAGGGGCATATGATGGGATATTGATGTTCCTGTGCGCTGGAAATGCATGCACCACCAGGTACACTGCCGAGAAACATGGCTGCTACACACATGCATTCTGAAAGAATCACCTAGCACAAAACCGCCCAAATTTGGCAGGAAGGTGCGGAAGAGGAACATGTGAACCCGGACAGTGCCAGATGGGTTGTTGAGGTTTGGAAACTGCTCTCATACAGGGGCCGAGCAGCAAAGTCATCGCTGTGCACAACTCTAAGATGAACAAGATGTATTACTTTGAATCTATTTTGACAAGGCACCAGCAGAGACGTGTGAGACGGGCTGAAGTAGCACGAAAGCCTTCCCAATACATTCTTGTCTATCCCGTTTCAAACGCTACGATGGATGGTGACATCAGATGACCATGCTCGGTGGATATGGATCGTGGTCGTTGACATTCGGTGCTCAGTGGTGCGTTGGACTGGAAGTCACCGAGACGTCGTCACCGAGACAGACACAACAAGGGTACAGTGTCTCGGTTGGTTTGAGCATATGCGGGGATCCCTTTTGCGTGTAAACATGTGTACATGTGTGTGTGTGTTGTGTGTTGTGTTGAGTGTGTTGTGTGTGGGTGAATGTCACAATGTTGTGTCATTTGAACCTGCACATTCGCAAAGACTTGGCCAGTGTTTCCTGTTCTTCACAAAGGGCGCAGTCATGAGCATGCTCGTTAAGTTGTTAAGGCAAGAAGCTACTAGTGTCAAGGCACCTTACTACCAGTTACAAGAAGCTACTAGTAGCTCCTAGTAGCAAGAAGCTACTAACTACTAGTAGCAAGGGCATGTACTTGATCAATTAAACTTCAGGTCTGTCAATAGTTTCAGAATGTTTCAGATGAACCGCCAGGTGGGACTTTTCCTCAGACCATTCAAGAGGGTTTCCCCGGTTTCCCCAGCGGGGTTGCCAGGACACAGGTAGACCAAAACAAGGCGAAGCGCGCGCGGGTCCCAGCTGTTGTCTTATACCATCCCAATCTGGCGTGGATGAGGTTTGAACAATGTTACGGCGAGGAAACTGAGGCTCTCAACGATGCTCACTACACTGGCGGGCATGGTGCGTCCGCCTTTGTTTTCTTGATGCTGGAAGTTCCACTGGCCGGGGGCTGCGTTTCCAGGAATGAGCCTTCCCAACTACCAGTGTCATGCCGATGAATAACCAGGAATCATCACTATAGTTATCCTTGAGTGACTTGCTAGGAATTTCAGTCGGCAGGGGATGGTGGTCTCTCTTTGAAGACTTTAAACGGGGCTGTCAAAGGCAATCAGGCAGTTTCTCAAGTACTCTATAGTAAGTAGTGTACTATATTTTGTAGTCAACAGGCACGTGAGAAGCCGCTCATGTCACACATTTCTACTTTTGACCCCACTGGTGAATACATCGATGTCAGGTGTGTCTTTGGCTGTATTAGATACCAGCGTGCCCGGGAACCTGCCCGAGCATCATGCGCGTCTTCCGCGGAACGCGTCGTTTGAGGTTCGAGTCTGCAAGATGATCAGCAAAGTGAAGGCGCTGGGAGTTGTCCGTCAGATTCTTCGGACTCCAGACCGCTGCAGTCCCAATGCGTGCAGCGTGCGAACGCTCGGGTGAAGAAAGGCGACGGGTGACTCAGGAGCCTGCTTGCACCGGTTTCGACGGGTGTCCGGCCACTATCTATGATCGATATGATGTGATATGTGTGTCATTCCCCATGAGCCCATGTTTTTTTTTCACATGGCCTGTCATGGACCAGGCGAAGGAGGCGAAGACATCGGAAGCGAAGGTGGGAGAGTCGAAGGAGTCGGACGAAGGATCCGTCGAGGGGAGTCGGGGTGATTTCTCGAAGAACCGCCGAGGTGGTTCGAAGATTTCTATCTACCTAATGGTAGGGGTGAATTAAGGTTGTCCTTAACACAGCTGAATCTAGGGGTGATTTCTTTTTGGGGTTCTGTTTGCTTTCATAGATTCAACTGTGTGAATTCATTCTTGTGTTGTGCAACAGATGCATGGACACGTGCTGTTTGGGGTGATGGTTGGGGGGTCCCGACACCGGTTAGGATGTGCAGCAAACGTGCTATTTGTGTAGATCGAGGTAGGTCAAGTCAAGCCCTGCAAACCGAACAAAGGTCGACAGGTTGACGTCGGACCATCTTTGGGAGTCGAATCATATCGTTTCAGGACAGGTTAAGGACGAGTGTTCGTCCTGCAGTTGGTGTTGGTCCGAACGACTGGGCCAGCGGCAAGGTTCGGGAAGAGTTTGCAGTGCTGAAGCAACTGGATCATCCGCATGTCCTCAGAATATTTGAGGACGAGCACTGGGTATGGAGATAGGGATGAGATAGGGGTATGCCACTATGCCTATGCCCAGAAACTGTTGACTTTTGAATCATGTCATTATCATTTGTCCATATGTTTCTATAACCATGGGGAGGCCTGTTGAGCGGAAGAGGGATGAATTGGTTGGTTTTTTGTGTTTCATCTCAAGAGTTTTCCCAGATTGATCAGAGGCAGTGAGGCTGTTGGTTGAGCACCGGGTAAAGCTGGTATGGTTCTTGTTGAAGAGCTGCCAACATGCGGATGAAGAGCCATTTTGGTTGTTGTATATATACGGTTATATACGTAGTATTTGAGGAGAAACTGATACATCTCATGCGTTAACGGTTAACGCCGAACTAACAGTCAATTGCAACCACGTGAAGAAAGGTGTCCAATTAGCCGCGCAGTTCAAACCATTGAAAAACATTGAACAACACTAGGAGTTCACAAAGCGGGTGCTTGCAGCTGCCGGAGGGTCCGTCCGGCCAAGCCTCTCGAAGTTGGGACTCCTATCGCACCATGTCGACTGGCTGCGTGCCGCGATGAGGACTTTGAGGATGAGAAGTACTTCTACTTGGTGATGGACCGCCCGCGCGGTCGCCATGAGCCCCGTTTTTTCCGCGTTGGAATCCAAAGCACCAGGAAGAGCCTCCAACCTAGTAGCTTCTTGTTACTTGTAGCAATGGCCTCCGACCTGATAGCGATGGCCTCCACCTAGTAGCTGCGTAGCTTCTTGCTACTAGTAGCAGTACGAATGCTTGGGATCAGAGCCTCCGAAAGAATAAAGTACGTATGTGCAGGCAACGATGAGGACCTTGAGTCTAACTTGTCAGGCTGTGCATGAATCAAGTCAACTATTGGCTGTGACGCTATATATATATATAAGCGGATCTATACATTGTAGAGGCTGCTCTAGTAGGTGCGTTCGACGATGATTTAGAAGCAAATGCCACATATGACGCGGATTTGTTCTTAGGAACGTGTGGGCTCGACTTTGGTCTCGCAGGAACAGTGCAAAGGTGGCGATCTGGCCCAGTATGTCAGGGTAGCCCAGCCGAGCCCAGAGTTGCGGAAAACAGAGGTCGACCCATGAACAGCCTCACTTGGTAGGTTCAGACAAGGTTGGTCAAACAGGTATCTATTCTAAGTCTCGATATGTCTCATAGCATGGGGAAGACTTAATCAAGTGTTTGATGCGCACGACAACTTCACCTGTGGGGCGATGGGGTTCTGGCAGGAGTGGCGCTGGTGTTGGTCTGTTCGACACCTCGCTCGTTGAATGATACTGTGCCATGGGCAACCAACCACACCACAGTCCTCTGGAAAAAAACATGTTGGTAACATGTTCTGCTTTTGCGAATGACGTGGTCCACCACTATGTTGGTCAGCTCATGGTGTTTTTATCGGCACCCATGTGCGCTTTAGGGCCAAGAGGCCAACTCTACCGAACAACTCATCGATGGAGCCAATCTGATGTTATAGCGTGTGCTTTTTCCCGGCAGACTGTAGGCATCAAATGACTGTTTATTGTGATCACGAGATGATTTCCATGGTGCACCCCCTTCTTCTGGTGCACCAACCATGTTTAAACCGACCGCCCTCGCTTGCCCTTCAACGAAACGTCCCCGGTCACGAAACGTCACGAAACTTCCGGACGGTCCATCGGTTCCGAGGTGAAGTCTTTAGAGCCGATGGACGCCCAGTCCTATGAGTTCTGGGTGGGCAAGGCGAGCTGTTTGGAGTGGAGGAGGAGAAGGAGAAGGAGGAGGAGACAGTGACAGCTGTTTGGGACATCCGTGCAAGCGTGAAGGAATCGGACCCTTCCCATTCTTAAAGATCCTGTTCAAATCTGTTCAATATGTTGGACCTTTCTGCTTCGGAAATCTCGGTCCCTGGAAGAGTTCAAGAAATTGAGTGCTTTTTCTCGCCCATCGGCTGGAACCCAGATCAAGACTTCGCCAGGTCATGCAGCACACGCTCTCGGCGATCGCCTACTGTCACTCCAAGGCAGTAATTCACAAGGCCGGTGGGATGGAATTGGAATGGGCATGGAATGGGAGGAGTTGGTGATTTGTTACCAGTTTGTGGCCATGTGGCTGGATGGTGCCTTCAGGATGACGGTTGTCCCTGTGTGGTCCGGTGTTTCAGTTCGGTGCGCTGAAAGGTTCAGCCCGTTCGTTCAGCCCACACAGCTGGGACTCGGCCTCTCTCTCTTTGGGATAGCACTGAGAGGATCGACACAAGTGCAGCAGATGATCACACTGAAAGTGGTCTCCGCTGCCAAGAAGAGGGCATGACCTTCAAGAGTAGAGGATATGCTTTAACATGTAGAATTTCCACCAAAGATTTGGCATGGAAACTCACAGTGGATCTCGGGAAGACCATTCCGACCATTCCCATCAACACTATTCAACACTGACTCTACAGGCACAAAACATACGGGGAAGCCGCGTGAGGCCATGTGAGGACGACTTTGGTCAGATTTGGCCATTCGTTACTCAGGTTCCTTTGGCTTGGGCAAGCTGAGCCTTTTGGCTCGATACATCCCGAAACATGACAGTCAGATCACCCTGGGCCGGTGACCAAGTCTGCCGGGGCTCGTTTCTGGTCGCCACCCGTCGACGGCGAGTTGCGCACCCATCGCCGGGCGGCGCTGCGAGGATCTCAAGCCTGAGAATGTGATGCTCTCCACCACTCGGGAGCCCTCACCGCGGGGGCAGTGTGGCCCATGGAGGGTTCGGAGTTGGTCCAACAGGGTTGGTGGTCTTTTGGGGGTCTTGAGATGTCTTGAGTGATTATTTAATTTCATTTCGTGTTACGCCTTGCATCCGAGTCCCGAAGAGTTGGCATCTTGCCAAGTTCTTTATTAGGCTCGGTGAAAGTCAGGTCCTGGCACCTCACGCAAAGCCCACGAATTCATTCAAGCCCAGGCCTGTCTTCCATAGAAAGACCATGAAAGACCCCTCGCCTTCTCCTGCCATGTCTTTGAGAACGCAGCAAGACATCGGCAGAGCTGCGCTGGATATTCCTTTAGTTGTGTCGTTTGGCTGCGCTAATCGGAAGCCCTACCACCATGAGCCGTGTTGGCTTGTTGCTGGGGCACCGTAGCTTCCCGCATCAAAGAGAAACCATGGAGAAAAAGAAAAAACCGTTGGGCGGAACCAGGACACAACTGCAGTCTTCCAAAAAAAGAAAGGAATGTGAATGTGACGCGTTCGTCAACATCGTTTTGCGCATGTTGACGCGTTGAGTCCTTCCGTCATCTCCCGTCTCCGCTTGTGTTGATCGGATCGGCTGAAGATCTGCACGGCAGTCGGCAGTCTGCTCATGGCCCGTGCCACGGATTCACACGAGATGACCGAGCTGGTCCACCATGTCAGATGCAAGTGGGGGATAGGAAGGATAGGAAGGTGCCTGCTGGCATTTCTAGCTCAAGTGCTTGTTGCATGCGGGGAGTTGTATAGTTTAATTGGGAACGGAGCTGGGTGGAATGAGACAAGCGGAACAAGTTTGATTTTGGGATTGCCAAGTGCTGTAGCTCCTACGGGTCCCTTGTGTGGTTGTGGTTCAACACACATGACCATTTCTGCCAAAAATATTGAAAGAAAACAACGGGTTCTTGTTCCGGGATTTGACACAGAGGTTTCCCTGGGTTTCCCCGTGTGTTTGAGGGGTTTGGATCGTAAAGGCTTTCAGGTCTCCAGCTTTGTATTTCCTTCACAACATCCGGCCATGAGATCAGAAACCACCTGTGCGAACTTCAGAACTCTGGATAGAACATCCTAACACCAAGTTGCTGTATTTGAATAAGTATATAAACGCAGTTGGCAATTGGCAGATCCAAATTCAGGTGGTTTTCTCCACCCCAAGTGAGGACTCTGGACATTTGTGTGTTTCAGGATACTCCCTTTGCAGTTCTTTGGAACACCTGGTGGACACCATTTTGTGGTTCTTGTTTATTGTCTCAAGCTGTCTCGTTTCGGTCAGTGTTTGATTACTTTTGGGTCAACGAAGGTCCTTTGGACCACACTCCCCCTTCGTCACCTTCGTCCGAATCCACCCGCGGCCGAGTCCAGGACACGCCCGTCGCCGAGATGCATGTGGCCACTTGGACATGTGGCGACGGTGCGACGGGGGTGACAACGACGGGGCTGACGGTGTCGTTCTGATCACGCGACCCCGAACCGCGGGAGCATGTTTGGTGTTCGAAGGACCTATAGCCACCGGACCAAGCCATAGATCTAGAGCTGCAGATCGTTTGAGGTTGAATCATACATTTTCTGTATGCAGTATACACCAGCTATATATGGTTTTACCACCAGCATCACCCGTCCCCAGTCAAATTCTATCAGTCACCCCCTCCAGTCCCCTGTTTCAGTTGAGCTGTGGATGGAGAGCCCATCAGACCGAGCTCAGGTGGTCGTGGACTTCGGCCTTGCTGAGGATGGGCGAGCGTGGCATTTTTTCCGTGGTGACCCATCCACGAAGCCGTTCATAGAGGAAAGGGGTCGGACGGTTTCATCCCATGACACGTTCTGGAGTTGGGTGGTAGATTCGATGGAGGTTGTTGAGCGTCCGTTTTTGGTGATTTGGGAGTTAGGAGCTGACGGTTCCGCCCCATGGCAGTCTGGGATATAGGTACCTGATGGGTACCTGATGTTTGGGAATCAGGGAGACCCAGTGGGAGACCCTCATCGGTCGTCCCAGACACAGGTCCTTCGTCGGACCTGGCAGGTCTTTGCTCGCTCCACTGACCGGAGCGACGTGGTGCTGGGGCTGCCCGGTGCCGGGGGTCGGCGTAAGGGTGGAGGACGGGAGTTAAAGCCAGTTGAAGCATGGAATCTGTTGAGGCTGTTTCAAGCCAAGATAAAACAAACGACTGTATCAGCTCTAGGTTGGAATCCAACACCTCTATCATCTCTATCTCTTCTCGAGACTTTTTGTTTTCGGGATCGGTTGAGATACTTCAACAAGGACGGGACGAGAAGACAGATCCCAACAGGGACTGAAGAGCGCGTGTTTGGTTTTGAGGCGGTCCGGAAAACCATTCATGATGTGAAAAGCAGACACCGGAAGCTCCGCACGTCGACTTGCACGCTGAAGTTGACCGTCATCTTCGGCACATTTGAGGACTTAATGACCAGAACCGGGTGTACATGACCTCAGAAACCTGAGACCTGGTCGTTTTGGTCAATGAAACCTGTCCCAGAAGACAACTTCACCAAAAAGCCTCAGAAGGCTGTGGGACTGCAGCACACACTGCGCAGGCAAACCGATCCCCTTAACCTTTGGAACCTCAGAGGAGATGCTACCATTCATTTTCCATTATATAAATATTCTGTCACACTATAACGTATGTATTGATATTTCAATGAACCCGGCCATAGTAAACATTGTTTCTTACACTCCAAACGGGTGTGGGATTATGCAGCCTACTTCCATAGGTTGGAGGCCATCGCTAGTAGGTTAAATATACTGTACTCTAAACTCTAAACAAAATAGAATATATATATATAGCGACGGACAATCACTTAGAACAATTTTTTCAAAACTTTGAAAACCACACTTAGAACATGACAAATATCAAGAACATTATTTGTTCTTAGTGCTGCGCATAGAACATTCCAGGGGTCACACTTAGAACATGACAAGGAAGAAACCATGAAAACTGGAAGATCCCTAGACTTTTCACACACAGCCCTTCCCTGCCACACACTAGAACTCCTTTTTTTCCATACTGAGGTCATCCCATGCAATCCAGGATCCACTATATGCTCATATTTATGTATGTTGGGGGCATTTATTGTTCTAAGTGTGTTGTTCCAAGTGTAAGTTTTTGTGTTCTAAGTGTAGGTTTTCCCTTTGTTCTAAGCCATACACTTAGAACCTCTCTCGGGGACGCGTGTGGAAAAAGTTGCCAAAACATGTTCTAAGTGATTGTCCGTCGCTATATGTAGAATCGAATAGTGTATATATATATAGTTAAAGTGTCTTTTCGGAATTTGTGTTTAGACCTTGAGACCGTTGTGGGCAATGTCATTTGCCTCAGCAATCTCCCGCCTCCGAGGTCGGGGACTCCGCCTTACATGGCCCCGGAGGCGCGACGTCGGACGTGAAAAGCGTCGGCCGGGTGACACGCTGGAAGTTATTTGTTTTGTGTTTGAAGATGCAGGTGGGTCACATGCACATACATGAACCACGAGTTTGGACTTCAGTAGCAATGGAACTCAGGGACAAATTCCTTTTGAATCAGAGCACCTGACTCCCGGCAGGTATGGCAAGGGAATTTCAGCAAGAGTTGCGACGTGTGGTGGGGGGGGCCCTGGAGGGGGCTTTGCAGGAGGGGGTCAAAGTTCAAAAGGAGATATGGACAATCAATATGCTTTGGCCTCCATTCCAAGAGGCCATCGCTATGAGGTTGGAGTCCATCGCTATCAGGTTGCAGGCCATCGCCATGGGAGGTCCCGGGAGGTCTCACAGGTGTTGATCCTTTTAATTCTCCGTACTTTTAGGGCAGTGGAAAAGGTGTGAACAGGTTCACAAGAAGCTACTAGTAATAAGGTGCATCGATGTGCATCGCTACTAGTAGCAAACAGGCTACTAGTAGCTCCTGGCATCACTAGTAGTAGCAAGAAGCTACTAGGAACAAGGTGCATCGCTACTAGTAGCAAGGAGGCTACTAGTAGCTCCTGGCATTACTAGTAGTAGCAAGAAGCTAAGAACAAGGTGCATCGCTACTAGTAGCAAGGAGGCTACTAGTAGCTCCTGGCATTACTAGTAGTAGCAACAGGGGATAAAGTCGAGTTCCGCAACTGCGCAGGATTCCGCAACTAGGATTCCGCAACTGTTTGGTCGGATTCCGCAACTGGGATTCCGCAACTGGGATTCCGAAACTAGGATTCCGCAACTAGGATTCCGCAACTAGATTTCCGCAACTAGGATTCCGCAACTAGGATTCCGAAACTAGGATTCCGCAACTGTCAAGATTCCGCAACTAGGATTCCGCAACTAGGATTCTGCAACTGGGATTCCGCAACTGGCGTTCCGCAACTAGGATTCCGCAACATTGTGGACTCCCTCACTAGGATTCCGCAACTTTGTGAATGATGAGGGATGTCGAGATCACACGATGGGGACAAGGGGGGGTTGGGGGGTGGGGGGCTAATGACGTTGGTTTGGATGTGCTTCGAAGGTGATGTCACAGGCACACACGCTATCGCGTGATGTGGAGATCACCAGTTGCAAGTTTCAGAAGGCAAGTTGCAGAATCTGACTTTCCAGTTTCAGAATACCAGTTGCAGAATCTGACTTTCCAGTTTCAGAATCCCAGTTTCAGAATCCTAGTTTCAGAACCCCAGTTTCAGAATCCTAGTTTCAGAACCCCGGTTTCAGAATACCAGTTTCAGAATCCAAGTTTCAGAACCCTAGTTTCAGAACCCCAGTTTCAGAACCCTAGTTTCAGAATCCGACCGATTAGTTTCCGAACCCGGCTCTAACCCCGCCCAGGCTAGAAGGAACAAAGGGCATCGCTGCTAGTAGCAAGGAGGCTACTAGTAGCTCCTGGCATTACTAATAGTAGCAAGAAGCTATTAGGAAAACAGGGCATCGTAAGGACGCTACTAGTAGCTCCTGGCACCACTAGTAGTAGCGAGAAGCTATTAGGAACAAATTAAGGTGCATCGCTGCTAGTAGCCAGGACGCTACTAGTAGCTCCTGGCATTACTAGTAGTAGCAAGAAGCTACAAGGAATAAAGGGCATCACTACTAGTATCAAGAAGCTACTAGTACCTCCTGGCCTCACTAGTAGTAGCAAGAAGCTACCAGGAACAAAGGGCATCGCTGCTAGTAGCAAGGACGCTACTAGTAGCTCCTGGCATTACTAGTAGAAGCAAGAAGCTACTAGTAACAAGGTGCAACGCTGCTAGTAGCAAGGACGCTACTAGCAGCTCCTGGCATTACTAGTAATTAGTAGCAAGAAGCTACTCGGAACAAAGGGCATCGCTACTAGTAACAAGAAGCTACTATAGTAGCTCCTGGCATTACTAGTAGTAGCAAGAAGCTACTAGTAACAAGGTGCATCGCTGCTAGTAGCCAGCACGCTACTATTTGCTCCTGGTAGTAGCAAGAAGCTACTAGGAACAAAGGGCATCGCTACTAGTAACACGAATCTCTTATATAGTAGCTCCTTGCATTACTAGTAGTAGCAAGAAGCTACTAGGAACATAGGGCATCGCTACTAGTAGCTCCTGGCATTACTAGTAGTAGCAAGAAGCTACTAGGAACAAAGGGCATCGCTACTTGTAACAAGAAGCTACTAGTAGCTCCTGGCATTACTAGTAGTAGCAAGAAGCTATTAGGAACAAAGGGCATCGATACTAGTAGCAAGAACGCTACTAGTAGCTCCTGGCATTACTAGTAGTAGCAAGAAGCTACTAGGAACAAAGGGCATCGCTACTAGTAACAAGAAGCTACTAGTACCTCCTGGCATCACTAGTAGTAGCAAGAAGCTACTAGTAACAAGGTGCATCGCTGCTAG